CCAGACACCTTGACTTCAGTTTCATATAATTCCTTGACGCACGAAAATTCACTCTCTCTTTTAAAGGTGGCAAAGTCACTCTCGGAATCCACAAAGTCCACTAGCTAGATATCAGATGCCCTTGTGAACTCTCATATTGACATTTGGCGATGGACTCCTCCAAGTTGGAACTCGATGTTTGGATGTAGATCGCCTTCACCTCTCAAGTCCATAATGGTGAGTGTGCTATGGAATTCCAACACTAACACCTTTAGATCTTCTCCTCAATACTCATGAGCTTCAACCACTCCGGTTTCTTGATCTTTAAACACATGGTCTCCTCAATTCCAAGCTGAGCAAAAAGATACCAATTGAGGCATGTGTTCTCACCTAGAGGAAGATCTTGGAACCATGATATCTTGGTGGTGAACTGCTCAGGAGTTGAATCTAGGAATGCATGGGTTAGGTGCTCCATTGCTTCTTTTGGTCCTTGATGACCCTCTTGTTCATCTTCATTAGGGTGCTTCAAAGGTGGTGGTTTTTGTGGTTGTGGTTCTTATTCCTAGAGTAATGGCTGGTTCTAGGAGGGTTGTAACTCTCCAGAATATGGGAGCTCTCTCCTCGGAGCATATTCCCTTATGCTTGTTGGGATCCCTAATAAAAGAAGTGTTGCAAAAGGTACACGAGAACCATCAATCCACTCATATAACTATATTTGAACTTTGCAAAACATCCTCCGCAACCATCTATGCACCCCCCACACTTAAGTGTAACTGTGTATTCAAAAAGACGACATAGATGAGAAAACATACGGTAATGAATTAATTCACATAGACGCTCAACATTCATTCTCCGCAAATAAGTCAAACTCATGCATGCAAGGTTCTATCAAGATCATACAAGTTCAAATGTAGTAGATCAAAGAATTAACATGTTATTCGATTGTGGAATTTCATCAACACTTGGTGGGCATACTAATAGAACATCAAAAGTTATGCAAACTTATCCCAACAAGGTCTCCCAACGCACATATGACATCAATAAAGTATGATGAGCAACCCTATTTCAAAGATAATTCATGCCATTGCCTAAAAATGTACCAAAATTCTCATTGTTCTCATCCTTATTTTGACCTAATTAACGCAAAAATACAATAGAAAAGTTGAAAACACTACCTTTGCTTGCTTGGAGACATGATATAAATCCAAAAGATCAAACAATATTTCAAATTTAATGATTGAAAGTGAGGCAAGATGAAGTATGTTCAAAAGGGTTGGAAGAGCTTTGAGAAAATGGTGTTTAGATTTGAAAGTCCTTAGGAAAAAGAGCACATGAAGGAAAAACTACCCTTAGATAGTTGTGGACAAGATCGCGGCTTCGGATCAAAAGATCTCGGCTGAGAACTTTGGCCTCACAACCGCGATCTTGCTTCTAGCAAGCAAAGATCAATTTCACCACATCTAAGGATTTCAACCATTCAAATCCAACATCCACAAAGGTAAATGAGACATGGCAAGAGTTAGATATCTATCCAAATATCAACTATGCTAATCAAACTCAAAATCTTAAACGATTTATTCAAAAGAAAAGGAAAGATAATGCAAACCAAAATTGTTGGCGTTCCTCCCAAATAGCCTCTTTGAAATCTTTTTGCTGGACGCTTTTCCTTTGGGTGAGCTAAGTGACGATGGCTCCATCCTCAACCCTCGATTCTTCGTACTAATCACTCTTACTGTTGGGACCAAGGTGGATGCCATGAAGTCTCTTGGCTGCTTTGTCCGTGGCTATTGACTCAAAGTGCTTTTCGGACAGTTGATGATGATTATGAAAACCAATCTTACTTACCCCAACCTCTTCTTCCGTGAATGGCTTACAACACTCCCTGGACTCTTTCTTCTCTTTGATGGAAGCTAACTTACTTGCATCACTTTTTTTCATCTTATCCCAGATCTTGGCCTTGGGAGCCTCGTTTCACAATCAAACTTGTGTAGTTTCCTCCGCTCTAACTTGGCATTATGAGAAATTAAAAGCAACTCTTGCATCTTCTTGTCATTGGGGGGGGGGGGGAACTTGTCTCTCCCTTATCCTTAATTGGCTTTCTAGAGTCGTCTTTCTCATAATATGTTGTTTCTTTTGAATCACCATGGAAAGTGAACCATTCATTCTTGGGACTCGAAGGTAGTGTTGTAGGAGGTATGAGCGTATCACAATCTTTCTTCACACCCTCCCATTGGTACTACTTGTCTATATTGGGGAGTGGAGTCATCTTGTATCTCATTTCCTCTTCACGGAACCTCACGATAATTTGACTTTCACTAACATCGATAATAGTCCTTTCCATAGCTAAGAACGGTCTTCCAAGTATAATAGGTGCATCAACACAACCCTTCGTATTGAAGAATAGAAAATTTCATGGGGTAGATGAAATGTGCACACCTTACTAGGACTTTCTCTACTACTCTGCAAGTTTTAGAAATAGATCGGTTAGCAAGCTCAATCTTCATATTTGTTGGAGTGATTGGACCAAGTCCGAGCACTTTGTAGATTCTTGTTGGCAAAATATTGATTCTGGAGCCCAAATCGTCCAGTGGATCCCAAAAATTCTTCACTCCAGAAGTGCAAGGAAAGATGAATGCTCCTGGGCCTCTCATGTTGAAGGCAATCCTTCGCAAGCTATAGAGGTTGAAACTATTCACTCATAATGACCACTGCGACTTCTTTCATCTTCCTCTTTCTTGATAGAATTCCTTTAAGAACTTGGTGTATTTGGGAATCTTCATCTCCATTTCTAAGAAAGGAACAATCACCTTGAGTTGTTTGAGTGTGTCATTCCATTGTGCGCATTCACGATGAAAATCACTCTCAAACAACCTTTTTGGAAATGGGAACTTGGGGAAATACTCAACAACTTGAGCTTTCTTTGGATTTTCTTCCTTTTCAGCATCGATCTTGGTGGGACCTTTGATCTCTTCTTCAACAAATTCCTTCTCTTGAGAAATCTCTTTTGTAGCTTCCCTCACAGGTGCTCGATCGAGTTGTCAGGATCGAGTTTTCCTTCAAAGGTCGGCCGCTCCTTAGAGTTATCACATGTCATCTGATCACCCATAACTAACACAGGAAAAATAGGCAAGGGTACCTATCGTTATAGGGCAGTATAGCAGGAAGCAAGGTCGTATCCACAAAGACTATGTGTACTAGTACTTGGCTTTTACCTATTATTTAGTCAACTGTTTTTAGTGATTTTTTAGATATGAAAGCACTAGCAATAATTAAAAACACAATAGAATAGTATTCAAAGTAAAATCAAATGGAGAAGGCGTTGTCCCCGGAAGTGAACACCCCTAATATGCATTTTACAGACAAGTTGAAGTTAACATAGATGAGTGTTCATATCTTAGACTATGAAAAATCCCAATTTAGTGTTAACCCGTTTGCACATGTATTAACACCCTTTCTACTAAAGAATCAAGTGAAACCGTGGCTTACAAGACTCTTAAACCAAAGCATTAACCAGACTTGTGAATTTTCGTATTAGGTTTTTAAGCTAATCTAGAGGAACTACATGACCCCGTCACCATACATGTATGAAACAAAATATACAATAGATGCGTACTATTGATACTTTGCACATGATAAGTCGAGAAAATATCGTAAGAACGAGAGCAACACGTCTATATCAAAGATACCACTCAATCCAAGTAAAACATATTAGTGTTCATCAAATCCGAAACAACTAGAAGATTAGCCGAACATGATGAGGTTTAGAAGGTAAAGGTTGAGGACATTACCATGATGATGATGACGATGACGAACGGAGGGTTTGAGAATACTATATATATATATATATGTATGTATATGGTGACTACTTCGGTGCACTCACAAAAATGAGTGTGTTCAATGCACCCAACTCAAAAACTAGTCTTAAGGTGTCGAATTTTCAATTTTAAGATGTAGAATTAGTGTAATATGATGATATAACATATGATAACAACTAATTAGTGGATAACCCTAAGCCCTAGACCTCCAATTTTGAGTTATATCCGTAAATCCCAAATTATAAACCCTAACCCTAATCCTAAATCTCTAAACTCTAATCCTTCAAATTAAAGTAAATCTTTAATGGTTTTTTGTGCAAATTCATGTGCGTTATTGTTCATCACATCATAAGTGATGATTGACATCATTTTGACATATATCGCATGTTTAAAATGACGGTTATGAAGCGAGTGCACCGAAGACGTCCCCATATGTATGCATCTATATATTAAGTTAATAGATTACACCTAGAAAACTTCCGACGGGGAATAATCATTGGGCGAAGACAGTGGAAACCGACCGATCTACCACCACAAATGATTATCAAAACCCCACAAAAAAGAAGCTTACTTCGGTAATCTCAATAACACAATATACCAAGGTATTCCAAAATACGAACACGAACATGAGAACCACGATGGATGAAATACAAGATATGATTAACGAAATAAAATAAGTAACAAGAGTTTGGAATGGAAATGGAAAAAGTTTCAGCTAACTTCAAACACAAGAAAGAAAGAAAGAAAGAAAGACCAAAGTCTCAAAGTAGGGGTGTGTGGTGTGTGTAGTGTCTTCTCTTGCAAGCTTCTATTTATAGGCAGCAATAGCTCTAATGTGGTCTGGGAACACGGTCGTGTTCCAGGTCGTGTCCACAGCTAGACGCCAGATCGATGTGTCAGCATTGCAGAGATTGATTGGCTAATTTTTTACTCAACGTGGTTGGAGAACACGACCATGTTCTAGACCGTGTTGACTATTAGGTGGATGAAACTGTCGGTTGATCTCTTAAAATGTGTAGAAAAGGTCGCCGTGCCCAACCAACATGGCCATGTTTCCAAGCCGTCTTAGATTCAATGATCGACAACGTCATAAATGTGATCTTTGCATCGAAATGCATGTGAAACGTGATTCTGACAGTGAACGCAGCATGAAACACGACCTTGTTGATGCCCACGTTGACCCTTTGACGGCTTCTTGACTTCTCTCTACGTGGTCTTCAACATGGCCACGTTGAAAGGTGTGTTCATGTGGACGTGGTCGCGATAATGACCATGTTGTTGCCCACATTGACCCTTTGAAAGCTCGTGACTTTTGTTGACGTGGTCTTCAACGTGGCCATGTTGCAAGGTGTGTTGATGTTGACGTGGTCTCGAACATGACCCTGTTGCAAGGTGTGTTGATGTTGACGTGTTCTCAAACATGGCCATGTTGCTGCCAACGTTGACCTTTTGAAAACTTTTTGACTTTTGCGGACGTGGTATTCTATGTGGTCGTGTTGCAGGGTTGTTGATGTTGACGTGGTCTCGAACATGGCCATGTTGCTGCCCACATTGACCTTTTGAAAGCTTTTTGACTTTTGCAGACGTGGTCTTCAAAGGGGCCATGTTGCAGGGTGTGTTGATGTTGACATGGTCTGTTAACATGGCCATGTTGATGCCCATGTTGGCGCTTTTGACAGCTTTTCCTTCAGTTTAGCATAGGCAATTTGACTCTGCAGTTTTCGGTTTGACTCTGCATTGTGAATCACCTATATTTGTGATTCGTCACAATAATATGGGGCAGGTTTCATTTGTTGACACCAAAAGGGACGCGACCAGATTGGTACGACTCTTTGCCCTGGCCTGGGACGTCACAGGCTCGAGTTTCACCGATGTCAGATTTCAAACCCTAACCATCCTTTTATCATCCGAGCACCAATTTAGTTCAATCTCTCTTCTTATTGGATGGAATAACCTGAAACATCACTTAAACACAAAACCAAGCATAAAATCGGAAAATTGAATGAACTTAGTACAACTTAGGTTACTTTAGGATGTAAAAGTGTAGGTGTATATATGTATAATTCAGGTGTTATCAGCGTCCTTATTTGGGATTCGGCTCCATATTGCCCGACAATGCTCCTTGACGTCTTACCGCTAAAGATTGAGCTATGGAGCTCACTTGTGCTTCAAGATTCAGAAGAGTCTTTTGGTGATTTCTTTGACCCGCCTCTAAGGTTGAGAACATGTTTGCAACATTCTCCACAAACATATTAATTGTATTAAATCTCCTTATGGAGGCCGAGATGAAATGTCCCATCATATTTTCAAAATTGGACAACCGACCATCTGAAGATCGGCTTTGTTCTGAGTAGGGACCTTGACTAGAAGACGGTTTGATCTTTGGAATGGGACTTGCATCTGTGTTTCACCTTGAAACTAGGAGGTTTCCTATCCGATGGTGAAGACCATAGAATATTCGGGTGATTTCTCCATCTCGCGTTGTAGGTTGCACTATAAGAATTGTTATCCCTTTGTTGGCCTCCCACAGAGTTTTCTTGCTCGTGTGGAATTGAGGCTTCGACCCTGGATTTACAATCTTCTAAGTTGTGATTGACATCTCCGCACAAGTCGCACTTCATCAATTGTTTGTTATTAGCCTTCATGGCCGATGCAACGAAGTCAATCTGCTTTGTTAATTCTTGTAAGTGGGCCGCCACTGAGGATGGTTCTTCAACTTGTTGTAGATTGTTGTTTCTTACACTCTTTCCTCATCTTCCATCACCATAATCATATCTATTGATTAGCTTTTACATTTCACCTACTTCCTTGTTTTGAATGGTCCCCCGCTAGAGGCATCAATCAAGTGACAAGATTCACGAGTCAATCCATTGTAGAAACTCTCTACTTGTATCCAGTCGGCTATTCCATGGTGAGGAAACTTGAGAAGAAGTGAGGCGAACCTCCCCATGCTTCAAATAAAGTCTCGTCTTCCTCTTGCTTGGACATTTGAATCTCACTCTGCATTAAAGTTGTCTTTGACATTGGAATGTTTCTAGCAAGTAATTTATCACATAGGTTAGCCCAAGAAGTGATTGAGTAATGAGAATGATGTTTAACCATTGCTTCCCCGCCCTAACCGAATAGCCTCTTGGGGTACTCCATTGATCTTAATACCATATGTGAGCCCATAGAATGACTTGATGTGAGCATGTGCATTTTCACTCATTAACTCGCAAAATGGAACTACACTTTGAAGCATGGATATAATCCTTCTCTTGATTTCATAATTGTTGTTGGGGATGGTTGGGTGAAGTATCCACGATTTCACATTGTCTACACTTGCCCTATCGTCCTTGGCCTCAGTCGTTGTTCTTCTTGTTCAACCACTGGATGAGCTAGTAGGCCTGCAGTTCTTATAAGGCAATTGAAGTGTTCTCTCAATCTCAGTATCAACTGGTACCAGTTCAAGATAATCTCTTCTTCGCATACCCACAAGCTTCAAAACACTAACTCAAACAACCGTGACGTACAAAGTGTGATAAAACAAAAAAAAAAAGATAAAACTACTAGATAAATATAAGAAGAAAAGTAAGATTAAACTAACAACTTCATGATTTTCAACTAGTTACCGAAACCCCCCCCCCCCCCCCAGACAATGGCGCCAAAAACATGGTCGACGCTCTATGCGGGTATAGTGTTTTACCAAGGTCGTATTACATGGGTCTCGATATCCTTGGCTAATTCTCACTCGGTTGTTATTTAGTCGATCGATTTTTGGTTGTTTAGAGAACATTTGGAAATAAATGGTGACTGCAGAGATAAGAAAGCATGTACTAGGAGCATCACCCTCACCCTAGCTACTAGGCATATCATGCAAAAGCATAAATTATCTGTTTATGGGGAATGAAGTACGGGAATCAAAATATAGGAGCTAGCTCAATGGTCATGCAACTAAGCCCTCCTCCTAATCCGGTCCACTAATCCAATCTCACCACAATTAGGTTGACAAACTAGGGATATGCTTTATTCCCTTTCAATAGGTTGCACCTATTTGCACAATAGGTCAATAAGTCGATTATCACGTACGTACCTCCCTAGAATCACCTAGGTGGGCATCCTAATTGGCAGAGAATAGTCACCTCGACCACCAATTAGGTCCATAGATCATTCATCTACACTAACCATGCCAAACCACTAAAATCCACAACCTATTCAATCAAACCCTAACTAGGCAATCAAAGATAGGTTCAAAGCATAATAAACATAGATAAATGCATAAAACGCTAGAAAAGCACATACCATTCACATACCCTAGAAAAATTCATTATACATTACAAAACCTAAAAATAGGGTTTGGGGGGCAAAGTTCATTGTAGTAACTGCCCTATAAGGGGGGGGGGGGGAGACATGGAAGAAAACTAAAAATTGCGGGATTCGGGAATAATCCCTTCCTTCTTGGCTCCTCATTCTTCTTCTCCTTTTCTTCTTTTACTTCCTTCAACTTCTGTCTCTAAACTTTCTCTAAAATTAGAAATTTAACCCAAGTGTCTAATCTCTCTTTGCAAAGGGGAAAAGGTTTTCTATTTCTTGTTTTGCATGTCATATAATACCACGGTGAGGACCTTTGTTGCCCATCCGTTTGTTCCTTGGATTTGAACTTTATGCATGGTTAGTTGTGGTTGGTAAATAATCTTGTTGAAACATGCATTGATTCATGAACAAGTTGAGAACTTTTCATTTGCCCGTTTCTAGTAGCCATGAATGTCGTTTGTGGTGGATATCGGTATTGCTTGCAACAGTCCTTTTGCTAATTGCCAATAGCCATTTGAGATTCGCCACTTTGTGCCCTTTGAATTGTCCCCAAATTATTTTGATAGGTTGAGTTTTTACCTTGTGTGAAATGGTTTGCTTGGGGACAAGCAAACATCTAAGTGTGGGGGAGTGATTTGGGCCTAATTACACACATTTTATCCCCGTTTCCCTTGGGAGTTTGTAGCATTTGGACTCCCAAAAGGGTGATTTTACGTTAGGTTTTGTGCGTTTTAGTGTGTTTCAGGATCCAATAGGTGAAACCAGCCCCACTGTCAAAAGTTGGACGAAAAGAGGCGAAGACCGGGCAAAGAGGGCAATCCAGGCGGAGTTTATAGTTTCTCATTGGATTTCACGGTCTTCTAAGGCCGTGAACTGAAGCCCAAAGCAGTAAACTGCGATGCGTCCAGGGAGAAATTGAAACGACCCGATTCTTTTTGAAAACTAAACCATAACTCAAACCACAAATCGGTTACTCCGGAGCAACCCAAAACAGGTTTACAAGTCAGAAACATAAATCAACAACCACAATGTTTAAGATTTTCAAGTGAAATGCCCTAAACACTTGGGCGACCTCATCCCAGAGCAACAAAACATAAAACACAATCCTTGAGTTTCCCAGTATACTCATTAAGACATGAAACTAAAGACAAATATGTGGGAGGTCCCATCTCGTTACCCAAATCCAGTTGACATCTTCAGGTTTGCCGAACCTCCTTTTGATGGATGCGTCCTCTTCCCCTCTCTGCACCTGGTGAGTGAGAAGGGGTCACTCTCGTCATTACTGCCTAAGGTCTATGCCCTAAGAAACTCCTTACTAAAAACATTATTCGGGTTCTTGACTTAGACAAAAGTCGTTCTTGCTTTCATCCTTTATACTTTGTTATCAAACAGTCTATAAGAGATCTCTACTCCTATCTTATCTTTAGAATTTCCTTATATTCTTAATCCATAGGCACCAATACTAGGGACCACCGCGTTACATCTCGCCGTCCGGTGTCCCTACCCTAGTATGCCAACTGAGTTACGTCTCGCCGTCCAGTCCATGCCCGTCAACTACTGTGTTACGTCTCGCTGTCCAGTAGTGACCCAACCGCCCGGGGGTTCATCTTACCTTCAACCAACTATTACAATCATACATCCATACATTAATACATAGCACAACACATGCCTTCACCCTTATAGGCGGTGAGTTGCCTCACACACATATCGCGCATTACTCAAAAATTAACTAATTAATAACTTGAACGAAAAGCATAAACTAAAAGACCTACGACAGAGATTTTACCCCCTTTACACTCACCTCGAAAAAGATGACGCCTCGATTCCTTTTTCGACGAAACCCCTCCTTAGCCGGATTATCTTGGGGAAACCTATTAATAAGAATCAATTTTCTTAGACGACATTTCTTGATTTAAAACACCTTTTGAATCACTAGAACATCCTCTCCTCAAACTCCAGTCCTCGAGTCTCATTCCGAAGGTCCCTTAACTCCCTATTAAAAAATTTCTAGAATTAATCCCTTCATAACCGACCATTTTTTTAATTATTTTCATCTTGGACGAATTTTTCACCTAATTTGAACATTCTTAAAATTTCAGATAATAATTTTCCCATGTCAATCATGAGCACCTATACCTTGGAATATTATCAAACCGTTAAAAACCCCTCGGAAAGATTTTTAATTAATTAAAATAAACATTCGTACAATTTCTAAAAATAGAGATAGATCTTCACAAATCCCCAAATTAAATTACGGTCATCTCCTAGACCTCCCTCAATTTATAAAATTATTAAATCTAGGAACAAACACCCAGAGAGACTCAAAACAATTAAAACATCCAAAAATACGTTTTTGGCTATTCCCAGCC